AAAAGTTAAAATTCCATGCTATGTTGCAGATACAGTACAGAATGTGATAAAATATCAATAATTTTTTATCGAACATTAAAAGAAAAATAATGTAAATTTCATGTATTAACTAGGAAAATGGTAACCATTACTTCCCTTATCATTGCATCCACTTGTTCTATTTAATGACCAGGTCCATTGGTTGAGTAGGTTAGTCTAGTCTAACGTTTCTCACCTTTTTATTCTTTTCATCTTTTTCGTCTGATAAAGTCTGTCATGTTTAATCCTTTTTTATTACAACATTAAGCAAAAAAAATTGATTACGAAAAATAGCAAATTATCAAAAATTTGAATGTTAAAAATTTGTTCAATGTGCGTGCTAGTCCTAAGAATGTCGAATGTTATTGTGGAAAAATTTTGCACAATTATTCGAAATCAAATAGCAGTCTTAAAATATATAATCACTATTTGTTGCTGACTTGGCCAAGTCTTTTAAAAACTTGTTGGCGTTGAGGTGCAGCAACATTGACCCACACACAAACACACAAACCCACACACAAACCTAAAACCTACACAACAGCCCACATACCTTAAGGAAGACGTAAAGAAAAGGGACCTAAGACTAAAGAGAAGACCTAGACCTAAAAAAAAGATAAAAAAGGCTTAAAAAGAAGAAGGCAAAGATATATTTATATTATTTAAATTATATACTCATAACAAAACCCATATCAAGATTATGTGTTACACATCATAAAGAATTACTATTTGCACATTTGCATGAGTAATTTTTTTTGCGTAGATCTTTTATTCATATGACCGATATGAGTCTATTACATAATTATATTTACTTTTATACTACGTAACTACAATTTAAAATAAGTATATTAAAGGGCTTTATGGTACGGAAAATCAGTTATTTCACGGGAGTCACTGGAATATCATGATTTTCGCGGCGTAAATAGTTTTATATAAAATAGACTGATATTATTTTGGAAGATATATAAAAATTTATAAAAATAGAAATACGATCAATCAATTGATATGTGTATATCATAACTATAAAAATTTTTAAAACATTTTTAAAATACATTAATATATCCATTAAAAATTGATATACGTACAATACTACAATACGCAAAATAAACTATCAATATTCGATATTATACGTAAATAAACACGATGGATTTTTTGTAAATTACTCCGCCGGTATAAACGCATTATCAACAAAAAAGTGAACAACGAAGATATTGGCAGATTGTATTAATTAAATATATTTTTTATTCATTACTATATTATCAAAAAGAAAATTCAACAAATTTATGAATTAAGATTTGTTAATAAAGTAATAAAGTTTATTATAATTTTATGGTAATGACCTACATTATGCAGGTAATAAAAAAAATACATGAACGCGCTGTTCTATTTTTATAATAATCTTTCATCCAGGCCCTAAAATAGAATTTTGCTGGGCCAATATGCCACAAAAGAGTAAGACGTTTACGCATGACCAATGAATCTATAAAAAAAAGGAACATTAGTTAATTTAGTTAATGTTTCTTTAATAAAAAAAAAAAAAATACAAAAAAATCAAGAGGAGAGAAAAAGTTAGTAAAAACCATCTGTTAACGCTTTCTTTGATCTAAAGCATCTGGTCCGTACTAACAAAAAATGAAAAGAACGTTAATAAAGTTTTTACTTAACGTTCCCGGTTCTTCTGATCTTTAATTTCCAGCTCATATTGGTAAAGGAATCTCTGTTAATGTATTCCGGTAGATGAACACTGCAAATGGAGTTTTTTAGGCAAAAACAACATGAAAACATTTCTGAGTATTTCAAATTACAAAAATTGCGATAGGCAATAGCTTATTTTTTATAGTTTTCTATCTAGAATCTTGGCCGTATTGAATTATTTGATTTCGGGAATTGGAAATAAACTATGGAAGGGGTTATTTTACTAATGGGTCTAGCCTTGGGTTTCAGAATGAAAAGTAAGGTTGGGTAATAAACATTAGTAAGATCTTACTGACATTCCTTTTTTTTAGATACCTATCTGGGTGTAAATATTTCAAATGGAATACTTTTTTCACGTGCTATACCTGTTCTATTTGATTTTCTACTCAGGGTGAAAGATCAGAACAAATGAAATACGTTGTTTTCACTTTCACTTTAGTACTTAAATTGAATAAGAAATATGTTAAATTTATTTCATTGAATTTTCAACTTAATTAAATAAAAAAAAATGACATTATATAATATTTTAATCTATTACATAACTTACTTTAACTTGTTATTATCTTTCAATTTCTCTCTTTTTTTGCCAGTATTTACCACGGGATGAAAACATAAAACCGAGACAACGTTCCTGCTAATTATGCCTAAGTAGGGGACCGAGATACCTATGTGGCCATCATAGTAAATGGTCTCATATGGTACAGTGCCATGACAGTATATACAATGACGTCTTTATTTTGACGCGTTTTTTTGTAGCTTTTACAGTATCTTAATATTGATATCGATAATATCGATAGGCGCACAAATGCACAATATTCAAAGTAAGCCTATTTCATCTATTGTGGCTAAAATCGGATCACGTAAGCTCGGATCAAAATTACGCCAATTCATTATTAGTCACATATATTATTAATCATTTTTTTCGCGTATGTGGTACAGTAAATAATAAATCCCTTTTTTGCTTTTTACAAATGTATATATACCCCAACTTTCCTAACTTTCCTCTAAAAAATACTCCACTAATTCTATCTTGCATACCAAAGAACCTTTATAAGAGTCCGTAATAAAAATAATAAAACATGATATACTACAGTATCTCAAAAGAATATTACCCTCTCTAAAAAAAATACTATCTATAGAAATACTCTCTGTATATAGAAATATAGGTTTTATTGGGCGTTGATAGAAGGGAAAGTGCAACAAAAAAAATTATTTTTTTAATGATTTTTTCAGTTTTTTTGTTGTTATTTTTTTTTTTGTTGCTCTGCGCGATTGCATTTTTTACGTGTATAAGAAAGAGTAACAGATATTAATGCTGTATTAGTAGAAAAAATTCATTATTAAAAACGTCTGAACTTTTTTTTATTTAATGTTACCAGTTACAGCACTATTTAATATTGAAAAGTAGATGACAGACGAAAGCTCTCTGAATGGAGCATTACTGGTTTTCCCAAGATGAGTGCAAAGTGGCTTAGGAGACCTTAAAAGAGGTGTGTTTTGTTTATTTTGCAAAGTGAGTAACTCCTAAGTAAAATTAGAACGGATTGCTAATTAAGCCGGGGAGTTCACAAATTTTACTTAGGAGAAAATACTTGGATTTGTTTGCTTGGGTTGGTGAAGGGGGAATGGGTAACTCCTAAGAAAATCTAGAACGGATTACTCAATTGAGTCGGGGAGTTCACAAGGTTGACTTAGGATTACCTGCTTTTTCTTTTAATTTTTTAATTCTTTTATTTTTTTTTTAATTCTTTTTTATTTTATTTATTTTTTTTTTCTTCTTTTTTATTTCTTTATTTCTTTTTTTTTTATTTCTTATTTTTAATTGTTCACTTGATAACCAACTCAAGCAGACAGCCTAACTTTGTTATTGGTAAAGTCTGCTAATTCTAGAGAAGGAATTAACTATGTCTTCTTTCCATTAAATAAATATTTGGCACACTATTAACAATATTTTCTTTCTCATAATAGGCAAATACAGAAACTTACATCAAGAAATTTTTCAGAAGAAATATATCAATGAAAAGGTCACATGATATACATCCTATTTAATTAAATTTTATTTCACTTAAACCATTTCATTTTATAAAAGAGCAGGTAAACCAATAAATTTTTTACAGTCTAGATCAACAAGAGACGATATGATAGTGATGGTAAAGTCTAAAGTTATGTATGGAACTATTTTATATGACTACAGATACTAGCTTATATTTTCATCAATATATTTTAATGCAGAAATTGGTAAATGTGCTATACGGGACGATGTAATAATGTATCACTTTTTGGTAAAGAGTTATTAAAGTTTTCAGGTAATCAATGATATTCTAATATTAATATTACAAATAACTTTGAAATTGATAAATTATGAAATATTTCAAGTTTTATTACTTCATTTTTTTGTAAAATTTAAAAAAAAAATTTTTTGCATCTTTTAAATTTCTTATCAAGAAAAACATTGAGATACAAACAAGAGGGACGAGCTAAAAAAAAAATCATTTGTAATTTTTTTATTATTTTATTTTTATTTATTTATTTATTTTTTAGACAGGACAGAGTTGAGGACTAATGTTCCTATATCTATTTTGGAACGAAAGATCAGTGAATTATCTAGTAGATCAATTTCGTTAGTTTTAAAAGTTCTTGATAAATGTAAAATTATTATGTCAAAATAAATAATAATGTAATGAGTGTTAGGATTTTGAATCTTCAGGATTATGATTTGTCAAGATTGTGAACGTCAAATTGTATTATAACGGGCTTCTTATAATCAAATAAAATGAACTTCATAAATTACACTGTATAAATTTCTGTTTAGAGAATTAGTATCGCGTTCAAAAATTATATTTAAATACTTTATTCAGAATTTAAGGATAATTGATTAATTTGGTCAAATTACTAATAGTCCCTAATACGGCACGTTCGCGCGTAGGTTAATAACCAATCGAATTTAAATAAATTTGGCGAGAAATTTAGATTTTTAATTACGTTCATCATATATATTGTTATTAGTAATAACTTATAACTTTTGCTTCATGACTTCCCAACAAGTAATGTTTTTTCACTTATTCAATCTTGCCATTAATAAGATATATAATATAGATAAAATAAAAACTTAATTCTTTAAAATATTTACCCATTGATGTATAAAAATCAAAACAATCTTGAATGTTTCGCTATTGTTAACGTTTTAATAATTATTATTTTTAACTATTTACATAAATATTAATTTAAATATCATAAATATTAAGATTTTTATAAATTAAATAAGAATGCTAATATAAATAAAATTTACATACTGATAATAAAAATATTAATGATTTTTACATTCTTTACTATATATTATTTATTGCTATTAATCCATTAATTGTTTTTGAGCCCAAAATCTAACATGAACACATTCAGTGCTAGTTTGTTCAAATTCTTCAGCTAATTTTTCTGCCATATTTTTATATTCTTCTTCAGAAATTCCTATTTCCTCACTTACAACTTTACATGTCATATCTGAATTAAAATAAGAAACGGCAATATCTTGAAAAACTAAACCAATTTTACCTCCATTAGGTCCCACGATAAGATCTTTTTCAATTCGATGAACTTTTCCTATATTTGGTTGTAATTCAAATTTTGAATCTAGATTATAAATCAATTTGGCGTCTATATTTCGTTTTAAAAATGATGCCCAAACTGTAATTAATTATGTTTTACAAAAAAAAAAAAAAAAAAATATTATAATTACAATAATACATGAAATTAAAATTCAAAACCAACAAAACTATTACGTCTATCAGATATTTCAATATATCCACCTGGTTTCGTTACTCTGAAAAAAATATATATATAAATCAGCACAGGTTGGCGNAATATCTTGAAAAACTAAACCAATTTTACCTCCATTAGGTCCCACGATAAGATCTTTTTCAATTCGATGAACTTTTCCTATATTTGGTTGTAATTTTAATTAATCGGTTAATCAACCGATTAATATATAAATTTTAAGTTTATAGTAAGTTTATTTAATTTATTTTATTTATATTAAAAAAAAAAAAAAAAAAAATTAATATTTTATAATATAAATAATGCATAAAATTAAGATTAAAAACAATGAATATAATTACTTGAGTCCGTTAATCTACGATAAATCGGACCTACACCAACAAAACTATTACGTCTATCAGATATTTCAATATATCCACCTGGTTTCGTTACTCTGAAAAAAATATATATATAAATCAGCACAGGTTGGCGTAATTTCTCAAAAATATGGATAATAATTAAAAAAAAAAAAAGAAATAATGTACCTAATGAGTTCAGAAAGAACGATATCCCATTGTTCTGGCGTAAACATAAGGCCCATTAAATCTGCATGTGTTAAATCAAATTCGTTATCACGAAATGATAATCCATTAGTTACGTCAGCTTCGATGAATTCAAGATTATTTGGTTTTATCTATCAATTTATAAAGATTAAAATTTCGGTATTATTTCATAATAAAATAAAATAAAATAAAAAAAATTTAAAACTTTCATTACCTCTCGTGGAAATATTGGTTTAATATCTACACCAAAAAAATAAGAATTTTCATATTTATTCGATAAATCTAATAACCATGTACCAGGACCACATCTTTAAATATAAATAATGATTCAATATCACAAAATTCCTCAAAATATTTGACGAAAAGATGTCACTTACCCAATATCTAAAACCTTACACCCTCCTTCAATTATTATATCCTCAATCGGGGAAGAAAAATTACCTTGAAATATATATCCTTTAAGAAAGTGATACATATGTAATCTATCAATAGAACCGGTATCAGTCGATAAATAATAGTCCAATAGCTCTTCTTGTCTTTCTTGTTCTGATTCTATTTTTTCAAATTCTGGTATTTTTTTTATTGATGATCGTTTATTCTTGATATGTGAATTTTTATTACCCATTATTAAGAATAAAATAAGATGAAATAAATAATCGCATAAAAAAAATATTTTTTTTTTAACTAATTAGGGGGTTGGGGAATCAATTTATCTGGAATTTATGTAGCACGTAATAATTTTGTTTAACGCCATATGGACGTTTGTGTTACCAATCTCCTTATTCGAATAATGCCGCGTGCGTAAAGCAAAATCTACGATAGGTTTAAATTAACTTATGTATTACCAACTTTTACAAATTTATAACGGTAAACTTTAAATTTTTAAACACACACACAAAAAACAATACAAAAAAACTTGTCATGTACGTTAATATATTTATAATGAAAATTGTCCATAATTCTTGCATGTTTGTTTTATATATTCATTTATTTTAACCAAACAAATAATATTACCAAATACTCTATTAAAAATTAAAATTTTTTTAATTGGTCAATTTTACTTTATTCCCTCTAGTATTTTCTTTACATATTCATGCATTTATTACAAGAAAATATTTGTTTTTTACGTTTATTTGTCATTGCTTTTATGAAAAATTTTGTTTAAAAAATTTCCGGTTGGCGGGTTCAGTATTTTAATTAATTCTTTTAATCTAACGTTATAACTAGTCATACGCAATATCCCAGGGTATTGCATTTAAATGAATGATATCTATCCAATGTTAAGGAAAATCGTTCTATTGTCATCATTTTCTGGAATCAAGTTTGTTCCATCTAAAATTAGTCTTTTCCTGTAGATTTCTTTTAATAATGTGGTACTACAAAATTCAGGAGATTTTTTTTGGTTTTTTTTTTTTTTTATTTTTATTTTATTTTTAATTATTTATTTATTATAAGGAAATCTCGTCCCACATTTTTTTTTTTAATGAAAATTATTTATTATAATTTTTCATATAAACAAATTTAGGAACGAAATTCTAAATAGTACTTGAAGATTGTATCACTGATTATTAAGGAAATACAAATATGCATTATAATCCATTGTAATTATTTTACGTAAGAAACTTTATGGATTATTAGTAAATTATAAGAATGATGACTAAGTATCATTACGGAATTAATAGCATTAGATTTTTGAATTGTATGAATACTGAATTACATTTCTACCAAGTATTTTATGATGCTTTTCAAATTACTTTTAATTTCTTTTTTTTTCCAGTTCGTTCCTATTCTGTGTTTGATAACAGTATCCAAGAGTTATAATACGAATACAAATATTCTAATTCTATATCGATAACAGAACGATTTATTCAATTAATTATTTGAACTCTTTGACGCAAACGTGAAAATCATTTCGTTAAGAAGTAAATTAACTCGTATTTTCATAAACTTTACATCTCCAAGTTTATTAAGGTATTAATTTTCTTATGTTTCACCCTTGAAAATGGGTTCCTTTTAACCAAAAAAAGAAATAAAAATAACCATGTAATAATAAAAGGGCCACAGTTTTATCAAAATCTCTAACCCTTATAGCAAAAATTGTCTAAAAAATTAAATTATCATTAAAAAATAAGAATGGTGTTTAATAATGAACTAATTATTATTCACAGAAATAAATAGAAATAATAATAAAGTTTAAGTATCATTAAATAATAAAAATAAATATCAACTTGCCATATTATTCTTGATTCATAGTTTCAAATTCTAAGAAAAAAACCGAAGTATGCTAAGAATTTTGATCTGGTAATTAAATAATAATTAAGATTATGATTCTATTTCAGTATATAACTTTTTTCATTTTATTTATTTATTTTTTTTTTATTGGCTACAATTAAAGATGTGTCATGAAAAAATTAAATAAATAATTATTAGTAAAACTGGTGCAAAATTTTATGATATAATTACCAATCGATTTATACAAGAGTCGAAATATTTTATTAATGGCAGAAAAGACTCATTATTTATATACTAATAACACAGTACTACGGCCCTACCACAAAGGGACTTCCTAAGAAGTGCACTATGCTCCACCCTGAAAAACGCATAGCACCATGCCGTTCCACAACCGACCGGTCCTATCGCAGGACTACAGCAATAGCTGGTACCCACGAACTTACTAAAAGCAAGTGCCTATGCTCCATCCCTCGCATAGTACTATACCGCCCCCAAATAATTCCCAGCCAGCCCTACTGTGAGACTGCAGCAAAAGCTGGTACTCACAGGCTTACGAGGTAAGCATGCTATGCTCCCGCCCATGCATAGCAACATGCTGCTCCAACAAAACCCGAAAGAAATAAGATAAAAGTAGGGAAGGAAAAGAGAAAGGTAAAAATGAAGAAAAGAAGGGAAGGGAGAGGAATAGAAAGATATGTTAACCTAGAAAAATAAAAAACATATTCATAAAATATAATATAGAAAAAATTTTAAGAGACTTAAAAACAACGAAATATAAATAAAAAAGAGAAAGATAAGTTTATTTTGTTACTTCACTGGAAATGATTCACTGGAAATGATAAGAGTAAAAGGGAAAGTAAGAGGGAAGGAAGAGAAGAACGAGATAGAAAAGAAAGGAATATCGCTATTTAAATAATTTTTGGAGAGTGTTAAATTTTCCTTTTATTCAAGAAGTAAGTATAAAAAATTATGTCATAATCAAATTTAGATGACTCATGGTTATTGATTATGCGTAACGTGCGTAACGTTTATATGAAGTTATGAACGTGTATATGAAAAAATGTAAATTTTTCTAAGGTATTTTTTTAATTTACTCTTAATAATGGTATATACGAGACGCGATTGGAATTATATGCTGAGTTTTATTTTAATATTTATTTGTATTTTTTTTTTTTTGAAGAGTCATTCATGCAATTTTTATTTTCCGTTATTACCAAATAATTTCTGTATGACTTTTGTGTACTACAGTAATATAAAGATATTTACAATATATATTATGTTATTATGTTAACCTATAAGTAGAATTACGGTAGGACAAATAGGGGTACATTATCTTTTGTTATCAGTTATGCTACGAAGCCTAGATTTTATTTAAATAATTTTGAAAATAAGATATATTTCTAATATAAAATGATTTTTAAACAATTTAATTAATTAATTATATAGATACAATTTTTTGGTGGTCGTGTACTTCAAAAGTTTAATAGCATCAATTTTATTTTCTAGCGTCTTTATAACATTATCATTTTCGAATAATAATCGTTGTACTTTAATCGGACACTAGGTTTGTTAGATATAACTATGTCATCTGTATAAGCATCATATGTAACTTGTACGATGAGAAATTTACAAGCAATACGTCGCATTTCAACTACGATGGACATGTCACTAAATTTGTTCATGTTACACAACTCATATATCACATATCACTTATAGATAACACGTATTTGTAAACGGAATATTAATCTTTTTTCAATAAATGAAAACATGAGGAATAACATAAGAGAATTACAAAATCATTACTGCCAGAATTTTGCTAAATGAATCATATCTTTCACGCCACCAGTTCGCAGTATTCTTTGGGGACGGGACTTAAATTGTTAAGGTTCGTCACTTTATTTAGTTTTAATAAATAAAATAATCATCCATGATATATAGTACATCTTATTTTCATATACTGTTTAATAATAAATATTACAAAATTAATAAATAGTTATATACATTCTCCAGACAATAAATGACGCATATATATAATACTTATACATTTTTTTTTCTTGATAATTATACGTCAGGCGTCTTGATCGCATGTTCGTAGAAATTCATATCGACATACTAGTATTTTGCAAGCAGGTTTTGAGCCCGCTGTGATAATTCGTTATAGCAACATTATCGATATCTTTTTTCTCTTTTTCCAAGACACTTAATTTTACACTTCTACCATCTTTCATTTTTTATCATATCTTGTTTTATAAATATAAAGCGTGACATAAATCCGAACGGGTTCGTCTTGCTACCACCAGAAAGAAAGCTGAAAATTCCCCAGAGGGAAGATAACCTCCGACATTACTTAAAAGGTCAGTTAATGTGAGAGGTGGCTCTTCATTCTTTGTTATGACATGTATCGGTGTGATAAGCCCAATCCATGTCGTTGGTTGAGGATATTCAATTTGATCACTAATTTTGGGTTCATCCACGGAAACTTCAGAAAAATTAAAATTACCTATGGAGAAGATTTGAAAACTTCGATAACTTCCATTCAAAGCTTTATAGAAAATTTCTTTGTATTTGAAAATACCACTATCACTGGAAATTAGAAACTCCACATCACTAAATTTGTTCCATTGGGGCATGGAAAGGTTCCAGTTCATCTCATTGTTGGTGTCGCCAATGTAATTACTAATAATGCCAGAAGTAACATTATTCTTACTAAAACCAAGGAGATAAAATCCTCCACCAGAGTTATTTTCGTTCATTGAGGATGATGTACTATTTAAGAAAGTGCAATTATTATTGCCTCTTTGAAAAGATTTAAATTCATCACTTAAATCAAGATTATGCTTAGGTTTATCAACAAAAGAATCAAAAACTCGTATAATACCTGGCCGTATTAAACATTAAATTATCAGTTGGGCAAATAAGTTGCTCTTTTCCGACATCACATTTAACTTGGGAGGATCATGATTTCATAGACATTATATGAGATGACTCCTATCAAGCCAGCAGTCAGGAGCAAGAAAACGAACATAGTATTCTTGTGGGAACACTTTGAATATTTTCAGAGATTAAATATTGTTGGCGATGATGGGGAAATTGAAAGATTCGTACAATGAATGTGAGAATTATAATGATCACAAAAATCATGGCTGCTGCGATGGCGAACAAGCCAGGTTTGCGATTGAGAGTCTCGTACAACTTTTGGTCCATTAAACTTAAGGTTTTTACTATAGAGTTTGTAATATTTTGTTATGTCCTATGGTATGAATTTTTTTTCTTGATTTATAAGAAAATATCTGTTGTATTTCAAGAAAATAAATTATGGAAGTTAAACATAAAAATTATATTGTTTTATGAATTATTTACGTATGTTTATTTTCTATTGTAAATACATAATATATATTTTATAAGATACATGATTCTACATACCCATTCCATTAGTAACAATTTAGATAAGTTCTCTGTATGATAGTCCAATAGTCCAACCTTGGTTAGAAAAATTTTTGCGATCGGTTTAAAGTTTAATCATTCCGACCCAGAAGTTAAAGTTTATTCAAAGTATTACTATTTTTTGTGTGTCACGATTTGGATCTCTTCTACACCCTATTAAGTAATAAATCGTGTGACTGCAAAATAAACATTTTTGGAAAAAAAATTTGATTGGTTTTGTCATGGTCAGCAGCTATCTATTTGAGTATCTATTTACTTGTTTATTTGAAAATGTAGATACAAACCTTCGTATAGACGTACACATTTTATAAATATAACTTTTTACTTTATTTAGCATAAAGAATGCTAAAATGTTTGCGTAGCACAAAAGAAAATTTCTGATCGAATTTGCAATACAAAAAAAAATGTTATCGTAGACCATCATATTTTATTTATACAAAACTAGGAAAATTTATTTTGCCAACAAACGTTTCACTGACACTTGTTTCACCGACAGTTCGCTTTCGCCTATTTTTTTCTTTTTTGCTCATCACAGCTAATAAAATGGTAAGTGATATGTGCTAAGTTAAAACAATAAAAAAAAATAAATAAATAAATTTCTTTATTTTTATACGAAAGATATTATAATATAAACAATATTTTAAAAGGTTGTTTATGTTGGTGAGATGAACTGTTGTAGAAGTTAGAACCGGATTTAAAAATATATCCAGTTTTATTCAGTTTTCCTTCGGTTATCCAGATATGATAAATCCGGTTTCCTTCGTTCCATATATCCGGTTTCTTTCGATATTCAGATTTAAATCCGAATATCGAATATCGGAACTAATCTCTAAGTCTGTCAGTGAGACGATCGTAAAACGTTACAATACGACCTGAATTATAAATCAAGTTGGTACACTTATTAACAATTTTCTGAATAAATTGTACAAGTTAGAGTGAGCTTTACCAGCATAATACTGATTATTATTTTTGTTTATTTAAAAAATAGCAACAGCCCATTGCTTCGTACCGGGATCAATGAACTTAAACCATCTAGTAAATCACACAAAATAATATTCTGGAAATAAGAATTATTAAATTCATTATAATTTAGCATAAATCGTAATATTGTTATATGTCAGTTCTTATGTGCTTAAAAATAAGCGGTATATTTAGTGTAAGCAGAAGGATTGGTGGGGTCGGAAATTTATAGGATCGGTGTAGATCTTATACTAATTCAATTAATTCAATGTAAATCTTAACAAAAATCCGATCAAATGCGAATATGGTATAGCTCTCCAAATAGCCTATACGATCAGACGCAAGTAAGGGATTAAACTAACCAAATACAGACAATGAATAAAAATAAAGTGTATATATGGCGCGCCGATGTGGACAGATTGGTATTTTTTTAATACCAACTCCCACTATTTAAATAATATCAGCTCATGTATTTTAATATTACTGCAAATGGCAGATTTTTGTCTAAAATGGCAATTTCTTTTTGCATTATTAGACAGATTCATATTTATTTATTATGAACTTTCTCTAATTAAATATTACCAACTCTTGTAATTTTAAAATTGGCAGATCTTTTTTCTTCAATAGACAGATTTATATTTTTTATTATCCCCTTTTTTTATTAGCAGATCTTTTTTCTTTACCAGACAGATTTATATTTTTTTATTATTAGCTCTGACGATCATTTATATTCATTAGCAGATCTGCTAAATCTCACCGCAGGTGATTTCACCGGTCAAATTATAATTCCAGCCAAATTCAATTGTGTAACCTAATAAAAAGTTTTTGATTTTTTTTAGTTACAATGTGGTATAAATATTGCACTAATGGATCCGGAAGATACTCATTTATAAGTAAATATGCAGTTAAATTTGTGTAGCCTCACTGAATAAATCACTTTACTTAAGAAATCTATTTCGTAATGGTCAAAAGTGGTCTAATTGACCTTAAAAGTGGTCAAACTTGACCATCAGCTACCTTAATTGATGGTCAAAAGTGGTCTATTTGACCCTAGAAAGTGGTCATATAGCACATAGGAATTTTTCGAAAATTTTCTGTTTGGTTATACTAATAATTGGTAGTTAAAGGCGAGGGCATATTTGACCATCAATTAAGGCAGCTGATGGTCACGTTTGACCACTTTTAACCATCAATTAAGGTAGCTGATAGTTACATTTGACCACTTTTAAGGCCAAATAGACTACTTTTGACCACCAATTAAGGCAACTGATGGTCATTTGACCATCAATAAGGTCAAGTCTCACTGCATAAATCACTTTACTTAAGAAATTTAACTGCATATTTGATTATAAACGGGTATCTTCCGAACTCATTGGTGCAATTTTTATACCACATTGTTACTAAAAAAGTCAAAACTTTTTATTAGGTTGCACAATTAACTCCCAGCTGGAATTATAATTTGGCCGGAATAAAATCACCTGTGGTAAGGATCACCTGCGGTGAGATTTAGCGAATAAAAATGATCATCAGAGCTAATAATAAAAAAATACAAATGTGTTTATTAAAGAAAAAAGATCTTCTAATAAAAAAAGGAGGCAATAAAAAAATATAAATCTGTCTATTGAAGAAAAAAGATCTGCCAATTTTAAAATTACAAGAGTTGGTAATATTTAATTAGAGAAATTTGGTATTAAATAAATACAAATCTGTCTAATAATATAAAAAGGAATTGCCATTTTAGGCAAAATCAGTAATTTTAAAATACAAGAGCTAGTATTATTTAAATAGCAGGAGTTGGTATTAATAAAATACCAATCTGTCCACATCGGCGCGCCATATGTATAAGAAATAACAACACGAAAATAAAGGGTATATGGGTTTTAATTAATTTATTAAAGATTTTTAAGAGCTGTTCTAAAGAATTAACTTTTCTAATGCACATTTACACTGCCTTTTTATAACAATTTCTACTATATAAAAAAAATATCTAATTTATGCTACATGTGCTATATATGCTATATATGTTATATCATATGGGCTGATTTGTCTACCTTTAATTAAAATATTAATTTTATTACATTTTTATTATACAAAATACTATATAATATACAGTAAATTGGAAATGAGTATTAAAAAATTTTATTTAATGTTATTATACTATAATTTGGTAAATATTTCTTTTAAATTAATATAATTCTTAGCACTTACTATATACTGTATGTTAAAAATTTATATCTCAACTTAAAACGTAAATATCTCCAGATCCAGTGATCCAATTGGCAAGCTCTTTTTTCGTTCATATAGACCAGATCAAAGGCTTTCCAAAGAGCCTAAATTTATAAAAAATGGATCAGTGGATCCCAAGATATTTGCATTTAAGCATGTTAAAAAGTTCGTACCTCAACTTTAAACGTAAATATCTCCGGATCTAATGATTCAATCAGCGAGCTCTTTTTTCGCCTATAAAGTCCAGAACAAGGGCTTTCTAACGAGCCTAAAATTATAGAAAACGGATCAGTGAATCTTGATATATTTGCGTTTAAAGATGGTAATACAAACTCTGACATAAAATAATTATTTTTATTGTTTGAAAATATTTATTATGATACCATCTTTTATATGATATTTTTATTATACTTTTATAAACATTTATAGCTACTAAGGCTATATAAATTTTTATTTTACTTTATATTTTATTAAAATATACTTACTTTTTAATAATATATGTTAAAAATTCCATATATATGAAAAATGGGTTTTTTATTAGTGAAATGGGTTTTTTCACAGCTCTTTTACATTTAATAATTTAAGTTTCGCAAATGTAAATTTTTGTTCAACTTATTATTTAGTCAAGTGATCATCAATCAGATGATTTTTTGGTATTACAAAACAATTTTGAGTAACAAAAATTGTGAAAATCAATCAATAACTCTTTTTAATGCAGAGTAGACAAATCAGCCCATATGTATACTATTTATGCTATATATACTATTTATGCTATATATACTATTTACGCTATATATACTATTTATTCTATATATACTATATGTTCTATATATACCATATATTCTATATATCGGACATACATAACATATAGAACATGTCAAATATATTCGATATCTCCTACATTGATTAGTATCACAGGTCCAGTTATATCATGTGATTACTACGTGATATTTTACTGTGTAACAATATAGCTAACGAAAATTATTGCCAAATTTACCGATCAATAATTATGACATAAATTTCAGAAATGTTACATTGTTATACAGTACACAATTCAAAACAGGGTTAATCTAAATATTTATCATATATTGGAAAAACAAAATGGCCTTATTAATAAATAGAATATATAAATATCTTTTTTATAAATTGACATTAAACAAGCGATCTTTAATATAGATAACTTTAAAGATCTTTGGTTTTTTGATATGAAAATTTTGTCAAAATTTTTAAAAAATTTGATATAATCTACTTTAATTGTTTTTAATAATTTTGATAAAATAAATCTTAATATCAACTTAATTAATTTTTTTTTCTTGACCTTCATTATCATTTTTAGTTTTTTAAAACGTTTAATCAATTCTTTTTTACCATTATTGTTTATATTTGTTATTTCGAATTCATCTTCACTTTTACTAACTTTGTCATCTTTTTCAAAAATATTGTTGTTAACAACCTTTCAGGTTTTTTTCTTTGATTACTATAGCTTTTTATATTTCTACAGATAATTTGATTATCTATTTCGAATACTTCCAATATTATCAATATTATTACTAACATCACCATTCATTAATTTTTTTAATTATTCATTATCTTTATGTAATAGATTGCTGAGCATGTAAAAGTGAAGTTTGGAAATTCTGGGAAATTCATTCAACTAATCAATTTTCTTGCTTTAACAAATGGTATTCTAACATTGAGGTCAAGAATACCTACAAAAACCTAATTTCCAATTTCCAATCTTACAATTTGTATTTTGAAATTTATTTTTTTCTTTTTTCTGAAACAATTTATTGTATT